TAAAGACAGGCCTTTTACCATTCAGGGGCATAAAATTAATTAATTTGGGGGAGACAATAATAATTTGTGGCGGCGGGTCGCCTCCGGATCGGCCTCACTCGCTCTTCCTCGGGTGTGCGAATGGCCTGCCTCAGCCCACTAGCGGTCTGGGGAGGTGAGATTTAGCGCAATGATTCATTTGGAGTGAGCACCTCCACTCACTCACGCATGCCATATGCCAGCAGAGCCTTCGCTCCACATGGCCAGACTCTGCAGGCGCGTGCGCGATTGCTCAAGCGTGACATTTTGCTCATCGCGATGCTGTTACATGAGCTGCATGTGTACAGTACGCGCCGGAATTCGTGTAACAAACCGAAATATGCGAAGGATTGATACTGTCTCGCTAATCGGCATTGACTTAGATTGTGACACTGATTATCGTGTAGTCTATTCTGAAAGCATTTCAGTCATGATAGGATTCCGGCTTTTTAAAGAGCTTCTTTCTGACCACCAACTATAAGTATGTACTGCAAAAAGTAGCTACCTAAGTAGTATGCATTTTTATCATTGATTTTGACTGCCTTTATAAATTCAAATGCATTTTATGGAAAACATAAACGAAAAAATATTTCTTTTATTCGTTTGATAGCAAATTACGCCTTTTCAAACCGTAGGTGAAAACGTACTTTTCCTTAAACAGGATGTACACTGCACGCAGTTTGTAAACCTTGAATTCAAGTGTAGCAGTCTGGTTTCAAACTTATTCGATAATTTAGAACCTTTTTTTTAAACCGAAAGATAACCTTTCTTTAAGTATAAAATTTAAAGAGGGCGTAATTTTCTACCAAACGGGTACATGAAATTATTTTTTCGTGCATGTTTTCCATAAAATATACTTGAATTTATAAAGGCAGTCAAAATCAATGATCGCTTTCCATAAAATATATTTGAATTTATAAAGGCAGTCAAAATCAATGATAATGCATAATACTTAAGGACCCTTTTTGCAGTAAATACTTCTATTTGGCGGTCAGATGGGAGCTCTTTTAAAAGCTGGCATCCTATCGTGACTGGAATGACCTCAGAATAGACTACAAGATAATCAGTATTACAACCTTACTCAATACCGATTAGCAAAAAGAATATAAATCTTTCGCATATGTCGGCATGTTACACGAATTCTGGGCCGTACTTTAATGTTTTGTTAATCGCTGACTTGCATACACGTGTGACCACGACAACCCATGCGCTAAGTGTGCTTTTATGTACGCATGGAGTCAACTGCTGTTTTATGGGTACTTTTCGTGTTGGGACGATGTCGGCAGGGGACTCGGGAAAGTATTTCTTCAGGCCAGTGTGTACTTAGAATATGCAACAGCACAAAAGTCAGGTTTTCAATGCATATATCTCTCCCTAATGGCATCATTTTTGCGCTGGATAGGACTGTGTCCGACCAGCGCAATACCGGAATGTCATGAGGTGGGACTAAGAGGGGAAGTGGGAGAATCTTTCGCAATGAAATTGCCAGCGATGGTAGTAGTCGTGGTTATGTGGGACGTTGGTGGTGCGTCGTGTTGCCATTACGGTAAACCCGTAATGTCCTGGCCTCCGCTATTTCGTTTGCATCAAAGGTGGCCGCTCCACTTTTTACAGCAGCGTGCCAAGATCTGTTGATCGTATACGAGGCCTCTCCATATAACCTGGCTCATTCGCGAGTACTTAAGGTAAGTGTTAAAGCTGTTCTCATATCGCGACCTTGGACCAAGTTGCCCATAGAGACGTCATAGTGGAATATTCATTTGGACAGGCACTCATCAGCCATCCTCAACCATCATGTTAAGGAGTATGTCACGGTGATTCCCGCCTGAGTGTTGCGACTTGTCGACGGCCTGGATGGCTTCGAGCTCTGAGCTGCGATGTATTTTTCGATCATTATGTTTCCATAGTGGTAACCTCGGACCTGCGCACTCTTCCACGACTGTGGTGTGGGTCCCATTGACATACTGGGTTGGAGGTATTGTTCAGTAAGCGCCAGTTCATACCCAACCCACACTTCCGTGTTAGTGGTCCGTCAGAAGTTTGGACCACCGGAGCCAAGGAATCTACCGC